ATTCCTGGAAATTCATGCCTCCTGAAGTTTCTCTAACTGCAACAGGGGAAAATATTTGGAAGAGGTCAAACAACTCAATACCATTGAGATCTGTAACTTTTCAGGCAGGACCAGGTTCCCATGTGCTTTCAGTTAGAGTACAGACAGGTTAGGGGAAAGGCAGCAAACCCAACAGCCTACTTCCCCTTCGCTCGTTTATAAGCAGTCAAGGCAGTTGAGAGCAACGTATGTGTTTGGTTTGAATTACAGACAGTTTCACTGCTGGAACACATCTGCAACGCACCGTGCTGAGTGAACTGCTGAACCCCAGCCAGATCACAACTCAACATTGGCAGCAGCAGCAAACCCCACTGATGGCTCCTAGAAGCTGCTTTTAGGGACAACAAGGAGAAGGAGATGGATATTTCTCAGCACAGCCTCTTCCCGAGACACCCTCCAGTTCAACTCAGTTTATTATGGCTCCAGGAATCAGAGGGGTTAATTTCATTCCAAGTTCACATACTGTTTGAATTCCTTAGATAAGCTGCTTCCACCAAAGGATCTAGCCTCAGGGGAGAACACTGTAAGGAAAAGCTCTTTTGATAGATTTTCTTCAAAAGAGAAATTAATTCAAAGTCCATTTTTGGAGGTTGTTCCATGCCCACAGCTTCAGATGGGGTTGCACTGTGCCTCTGGAAGAAAAACTAAGCTTTGAGCAAAGCCCCACCACTTCCATGTGCAAGACACAAATGTTTTAGGCTTGCACAATAAAAATCTTCTCTCCTGAAACGAGAAAGCTCTGTTTGCAGCACCACAAAGAGGAAAACCAGACCAAAGGAGGCTTTAACTCTGGGATAAAGCAGTTAACAGCTAGCACAAACTACTCCTGTCCCTTTAAAACTGAGCAGTCACTCAGAAAAGCAAAAAAACAAGTTTTGAAAGCCACTGAAGGCTTCCTTCACATCTTGAGGCAGAAAGCAAGCAAGTCTGGGCTGTTCTGGAATTTGTGTTTGCATACTGCTGGTGATAATCTATGTGCATAGCTGGAAACAAAACAAGGTTTTATTAGCAATTAGTAGCAGGAGGGGGGACAGACCTGCCTGAAGCAGGCAGAGGAATGCCAATACCTGATGGAAGAACAACACTGTACAACGTGCAGCAGAAGGAACCCAATGTGACAGATCGCATATAGGGGAAAACAGCGCATCTCTAGACTTGGGAGATGCAATGGCATCACTTCAAGCAGATAAACTGTGTCTTTAACACTGACAACTTTGACTCCAGGCAGCAGTTTTCCCTTGCACAGCAATTTGCAATGCAAAGCAAGCTACTTCTGCTCTTACCAAGAAGAGAAATTCAGAATCAAAGGAGGAAAGCAAAGTTGGGATGGGTTGATTTGCTTAGATACAGTTTTCTACAGAGTTGAGTTTCAAGTCGGGCATGAGAGCAATAAAGCATAGGGTCTGAAACAAAAGTGTGAGAACTTGGGCAAGGACAAGGGGGGAAAGATAGGATTTCCTCCAAAATAAACCCCAGTCCCTTTCAGGGGAGCAACTCCTGCTCCCTCTCCATGTCTCTGAAAAATGCAGTCCAGCTCTGATCAGCCAACACCACCCAGGTTCAGAGCTCTCCAGCTATGTACTGTGAGAATGATGTGGCATGTGGGGCCCTACAACACATCTATTAAAATCCCATCAAGGGGTAGGCAAGTGGTAGCCATATGCTAAAGCATTCAAGTGAAGAATAACCAGGAGAAGGAGGACAGCCAGGAAGCAAGTGTGCAAGCAGCTTCTTACCTGGTGGATAAGCTAGCAAAGTCTCCTCCATCTAGCAGCCTGATTTTGCAGAACAGAACCCCATTGACGAAGGGGACGGCAGTCAGCTCTTCTAGAGTAAAGCTTGTCTGAAACTTGAATTTCTTCTTTTTCATCAGGAAAGCCATGGGCAAATTCAGCGTGGCAAGCCCAGGAATCCCAAACAAGATGAGGGAGGAGCGGCTCAAAACACACACAGACAAGCAGAGAAAGAGCACTCGTTCCGGGAACGCAAGCAGGGATTAAATTCCAGTTCAGTTACAACGACGGCCCAGCTTCAAACACACAATCCTCTTCTCTTTGGTGGTCGGATCTGGCTGTGGGATCATCGCCACGGCAGGCTTCAGGTGAGGAGGAGGAGGTCAGATTAAATCTCTGCAACATCTCCAAGGGAAAAGGGAGGGAGAGAAGTCAGTCTCAGCTCCAGACCAGCAGGAGCTGTCCCAGTTAGAGGCTGCAGCGCTCTGCCTTCAGCACAACCCCTCCAGAAAGCATCTCTTATCAGAAATCACCTTGAGTTTCCAAAGAAGCGTTAAGTCTGTGGGCAGCACATTCAGAGAGCTTCCAGTTTCTATCTCCTCCTCTTGTGCAACTCCTTGGTACAGGTCTTCGGGTCAGCCTTTGGGAGGGAAATGAGTAAATTAGTCCCAGCGAGTCTTGGGCTCCTCCTCCTCCTCTAAAACCTGTTTGGATGGGTAATATTCACTCCAGACTCATACCATTCTTAAGAGGTATGGCCCCAATTAGCCTGGCCCCAACATCCTCTTCCCCCTTTTTGCCTAGAGCAAGCTTCACTGTTGTCATCCCCCTGTAATTTCTGTTTTGCAAAGCAGCTAATAAAAATCTGCTTTATTTTCAGCCATCACCTTTAGAAGCAGTTGACAGAGCAAGGTCAGTCTAACAAGATTAAGCAAAAGCCATCTCAAGAAACACAAAAATCTGTTTCTTTTCTGTATTTCCAACCAGCCCCGAGTGTCAGACCAGAATCTTATAACTGGAGAAAGCAGCAGAGAGGGGAGAGAAAGCAGCAGAGAAGGGAGAGAAAGCAGCAGAGAAGGGAGAGAAAGCAGCAGAGAAGGGAGAGAAAGCAGCAGAGAAGGGAGAGAAAGCAGCAGAGAAGGGAGAGAAAGCAGCAGAGAAGGGAGAGAAAGCAGCAGAGAAGGGAGAGAAAGCAGCAGAGAAGGGAGAGAAAGCAGCAGAGAAGGGAGAGAAAGCAGCAGAGAAGGGAGAGAAAGCAGCAGAGAAGGGAGAGAAAGCAGCAGTCTGCTCCAGATTACACAGCATAACAACCGAATCAGGTCATCTGGCTGTCCAATAGACAGGCCCACCGAGTCTGCTGCCTTCCCCAGCACCAGGTCCACACCAACCCATGCCCTCAAAGGGCACTTTTGGGGCTGGAGATGGTCATTTCATCACACATTTGCACAATACCTAAGCCAGGGAGGCAAGACCTGAATAGCATCCAAAGGGATGAGGTTATGAACACCAGGCAGTAAACAATCCGTGCCAATATGAAGAATTAATGACTGCAAACCAAGGCAGGCAAAGCTCCTTATAGCCTGTAGGGGTGTGTGGTTAAAGCCCCCCTCCTGCTCGGGCAGACTGGTGACTGCTCTGCACCATCATGAGCTATACCTGCCCCCTCTGCCGCTGCACTGAGCTGCTGCTGGGTCTCAGCCTGCCCTCCAGCCGCCTGGACTGCACATGGAGCTGGGGACAGGTCTCAGCCCACCTCTGGGCTCCGTGGATCATACACTGGGCTGCAGAGACGTCGCAGCCCGCGCCCTGGCACCCCTGGGCCATGTGCTGAGATGTGGTCAGGTCTCAGCTTGCTTTCTAAGCCATGCAGTGAACAGTGGCCAGCTCTCAGCCTGCCTCTGGGCTCCGTGGACCACACACCAGGCTGCAGCCAGGTCTCAGCCTCTATCCCAGCCCCAGGGGCCATGCACTGAGCCATGGCCAGCCCTCAGCCTAGCTATGAGCCTATGAGCCATGCACCGAGCTGCTGCCAGGTCTCAGCCCCATTCCCATCCTGTACACTGATCTGCAGCCAGGTCTCAGCCCCATTCCCAGCCCATGCACTGATCTGCAGCCAGGTCTCAGCCCCATTCCCAGCCCATGCACTGATCTGCAGCCAGGTCTCAGCCCCATTCCCAGCCCATGCACTGATCTGCAGCCAGGTCTCAGCCCTGCTCCCAACCCATGCGCTGAGCTGCAGCCAGGTCTCAGCCCTGCTCCCAAGCCATGCACTGAGCTGCAGCCAGGTCTCAGCCCTGCTCCCAACCCATGCACTGAGCTGCAGCCAGGTCTCAGCCCCATTCCCAGCCCATGCACTGAGCTGCAGCCAGGTCTCAGCCCTGCTCCCAACCCATGCACCGAGCTGCAGCCAGGTCTCAGCCCTGCTCCCAGCCCATGCACTGATCTGCAGCCAGGTCTCAGCCCCATTCCCAGCCTATGCACCGAGCTGCTGCCAGGTCTCAGCCCTGCTCCCAACCCATACACCGAGCTGCAGTCAGGTCTCAGTTCCTCTCCCGGTCCTCAATCACAAGCTGCCCTATAGGAGCTCTTAGCCCACTTCCCGGCCCCTTCCACCGACCTGCGGTCCGGTTCCGGCCCGGTGCCTGCCCGACCCCGCTTCTGCCCTCTCCTCACGGCCGCCGCCGCTGCTCCCCGCCACAGCCGCCTCTGGTAGAGCTACGCCAACTGCGCCCGCTACGCCAACGCCGCAGGCAGCCCAAAGCAACACAACGCCACCAGGACGCTTCGAGAATACCACTCCGACACTACGTAACCCCTCCCTCCATCCCCTGGGAGGGAGACGAGGACCACGAGAGCGGCGCCGCCTGATTGGACCAGCGGCAAGGAGGCGGGACGAGAGGAACAAGGCTTTGATTCGCTTCTCCGGCACGGGGCGGGGAATAGAGCGTGGCGATTGGAGGCGGAGGCTGTCGGTTGGGGTAAGCCCCGCCTCCTAGCTGAGGCGGTGGGCGGGAAGCGGGGGGTAATAGGGAGGCCGCGGTGTCGCCTCAGTGGGCCGGTGGTGTCGTGGCTGTTGTGGGGTTGTTGGTGGGGCTGCGGGTCCTTCGACTTCCCACCGCCCCAGGGTGCCCCAGAGCCCCAGCTGGCACTGCAGTGTGCGGGGCTGGCTGAGGTGATGGGAGAGGCGGCTCTGATAGACGTGGTCTGTGTCCGCCACCTCGTCCCCGTCCTCCCTCAGCGCCCTCGGGTACCACAGAGCGGGTGATGGGTTAGGCTGAGCAGGAGGGAGGCCTTGGCACCGCACAGGCAGCACGGGGCAGGGTATCACCCTGAGATGTGGCAGCCAAACGCATCTCCTCATCACCATGGCTCCCTGTTATTAGGTGCTGCTGCTGGGATCCCTGGTCAGGCAGGATTCCAGCGTTTAAGGGCCATCGGAACAAAATGTCTCTCCTCATCCTGGAGGAGTTCGCAATCATCAAGGTGATTTGCCTGGGTTTTAAGTTAGGGATGTGCCTGAGAGTCTCTGTGGCAGAGAAGTTGAGGCTCGTATGGGAGGGGCTTTTCCCAGGGATGGTTTGCTGGTGTCTGGCAAAGCTTGGATGGAAGCCTGGGAATCCTCCTTCTCTTTGCCAGGCTTTGATGCTTGGGCTCTTTGCCTTTAATCTTTGGCATCTTTGCAGACAATATCAGAGCTATCAAAGAATTCTACCGCAATGTGAGCCATGAGACTGCTGGGAAAAGTACAGGGCTACATCACTTGTCTGAAAGTCAACAACTGCATGAAGCCAATTGCTTTGTAATGATTTGTATTTGTTATGAGGGCGGGTTCAGGAGATACACAGGCTTTGGGCTGGGAGCACATTTCATACTGGGTAAGGCATCACAGCCCTCCCATACAACAGGGTTTGTGGAGGCTGCTTATAAAGGTAGGACCTGAATCAGTAAATCCATTGATATCTGGAGACATAGTTAGAGATGAGCTGGGTTTTTACTGCTTTCTGTTTCTCACTTTATTGGGATAGAGCCCAGCCTGCTAGATATTTACTATCGGCCAAGCTGGGATGCTGAATGCTGGAAGCAGCTGAAGAATCCAGCCTGGTCCCTCACGCATCCCATTCCCTGAGCACACTCTGACACACGTGTCCATCTTTCCCTTCCATCACTAGCAAAAGGACAAACGAGCCCTGTGTTTGTGCTGTGGGAGGAGGCTGTGTGTTATCTGGGATGATTCACCCTGATAAATAACCTCCTCGGAGGCCTGCTCTTGTTTATAGCAACAGCCCCAAATGCTGAAGATGACAGCGATTTTCATGCGTGCTCTTCTCATGCATATTTACCCAGCAGTTTTATCAGAATTATCTCAAGCAAACCTCAGTGTTTTTATGATTAATTGACTAATGGTAAAAATAAAGGCGTTTGGAGAGGTGCCCAGTGAGCAGTGTGTAATATAGCAACCAGAGCCGGAGTCTCAGGGGTATGGATATTTTCCTAACAAACGCAGTCTCATGACTTAGCGATTAAATCTTTATGAGTCTGAAATTCACCCTGATGATTTTTTTTTCTCTGTTTATGCTGCAGGATTGTTTCTGGGAAAATCCACATTGGTTTAAAGGGACAGTGCTCCTTCCGCTCCCAGAGCGGGTGAGTTACTCTGAGCCCCACAGCACAGGGCATCCCCATCTATCCACCATCCCACTGGCTTTATATTACTTTCCAATCCATCCACTAAGGAGCTGTGTGTGGATGTGAACAGGGCACTGACATACTGATTCTCCTTACCCCAGGCTCAAATGCTGTTGATTTCTCCTCTGCCTCAGCCCCACTGTACCCACCTCACCTCTGCTCCATGAACCTTAGCTCCATGCTCTCCCTGACCTAAGCCTTTCCTGATGCTGCTCTCCAGTTGCTGCCACCACTTCCTCAGTTTTTGCTGGCTCAGGGCATTGTTTTATCAGGCTGGGATAGTTTTATCAGTCTGGGCTCTGCAGTTCAGCCTGAGCCTCACCTCTGCTGTCATTGGAGAAGTGTGTCACACTGGGATCTCTGCCCTGCTCACCTTGGGGCTGTGAGTGTGCAGGACCAGAGATGGTTTTCCTTGCCTCCTCTCTTTGAGGACTGAGATAAAGCAGCAGGGGTAGAAATAAGGCAAGATGAATTCGAAGGGACAAAACACAGTGAGGTGAAGCGAGATGGATTCTGTAATGCACTTGGTGAGCCATCAAATCCTCTCTCATATCCCAGGGGAATCCCAGATCCCCGAACAAATCATCAAGCCCTGCAAACTACATCATCAGCATCTTCCTCTGGAAAACATCATCATGTTAATCCATTTGTCCTGGCAGCCAGATGATTGAGGTTTGAAAACTAAATGACACACGTTTGCTGCAACAGCATAAACGCAATAATGGCTCTCCTCCATTACACTTGTAACCTGGTTATAATGGCTTTAATGAGCTTTCAGCCTCGTCAGCCAAAAAGAAAGATTATCACATGTTGCTTTATATTATAAAGTGTCCTTTGTGCTGCTGGTGGCTGAGTACCTGCAGTCACCCACTGCATGGGGTGCCCGTGGTTGGTGGGTGCCTATCCCAAAGCTGGGGGGCTCCCAAAACGGGGCAGGACATGGCAGTGGTGTGAGCCCCATAGGCTGCTGGACACCCTGTGAGGGGAACAGGTACCTGTCCCCATTACACAGGATTATCCTACGGTGTGGAGTTACTCCAACCATGTGTCTTCCCAGCTTAACTTAATAACAGGCTGTGAGCTCTACTTTGATGTGCTCCTGTTTTTCACTAGTACCATATTTAACTGGACTCATCATCATAAACTGGAACTGTTTCACTTTCAGTGCCAGGCTGGGCTTCCTGTTGGACTGGCAAAGGACACACCTGCACGGTGGGTTTCTGCTGGGATGGGGGATCCTGTTATCGACCGGGACAAAGGGAGCACAGGAATCTGGAGCTGGTGGATTCCTTTCCCCAAACATGTGGCCAGACCTGTAAATCCAGCTGCCTGGCTTTTTTTGTTTACTGGTTTCCATGTCTGCTCCAGTATGTTCTGGGAATGTGCGGCAGGACTCTCCGCTTCTTCCTGGGAAGCCTGTGGGTGGAACTGGAGCTGGTTTGCCCCTTCCAAAACCTGCCTCAAGGCTTCTTGTGTTTATTAAACATCATCCTGTGTCTGTATCCAGGGTATTGCCTTTAGTGCTCTGCTGGCCATGGGCTGTCACACTGGTTCTGTGCTTCTGGCTGTGCCCCACAAGTGCCGCTGTTACCCCAAACACAGCAGAAACAACTGTTAGTTGTGGTTCCACTTGACAAGGCAACCTCTAATTTGGGATCCCAGCAATAGAATAACAGAAACTGTCCCTGCTGGGGCTGGGCCTCTGCCGTGGGTTAATCACCTCGGAGGGCCGGGACCCAAGGGCTCGTGAAAACTCAAAAGAGGGGAGACTGAGATGAGCTCTTAGGCAGAAGCTCTTCCCTGTGAGGGTGCTGAGGCGCTGGCACAGGGTGCCCAGAGAAGCTGTGGCTGCCCCATCACTGCCAGTGTTCAAGGCCAGGTTGGACACAGGGGCTTGGAGCAAGCTGCTCTAGTGGAAGGTGTCTCTGCCTGTGGCAGGGGTTAGAGCTGGAGAAGCTTTAAGGTCCCTTCCAACACAAACCACTTGATGACTCTAATATTAAAGGCTTCAGTTTTCATATTTAACAGACCACATGTGCTGACAGTACCTGCTGGCAATAACCTCTTAGATGGCAACAGGAAAAAGAAAAACCCCAGAAGAATGCTTTGCCAAAACAGGCTTGACAAACTTTAAAGACACACTGGAGGAGGTGGAGGTAATTTGGGTGAGCATTAGGTGATTTCATCCTGTCCCTCGGCAGGGATCTGCTCCAGGACTGTGATGTAGCTATGGCAGCATGCTGCATTTGTGGGATGCTCAGCTGTTTATGTGTGGTTTTCTTAAGAAATAAAGTTAAAACTGTCCCTTTGCTTATAATTGAAGTTTTTTAATTTAAATTTAATTAAAATTGTTTGTTTTTTTTTTTTCCTGTGCCTGCCCATACACTTCTGTAATGAACTCATCCCAAAGAGATACATGAGATCCCCACATCTCAGTGTCCTCTGCCTGTGTTTTCAGAAGCAGAGGGACCCAATTTGTGTTCCTGGGCATAGAACCACAGACTGGTTTGGGCTGGAAGGGGGTTTAAAGCTCATCCAGTTCCAACCCCTTGCCACGGTAGGGGCACCTTCGACTAGAGCAGGTTTCTATGGGTACCCATGTTCCCCATCACTGGGCTCTGCCTGTTGAACTTCTCCCTCTCCATGCTCTCAGTCCTGAAGAGATTCATCAGTGAGAGGCAGAAGCAGGATCACAACAGGTCTGGAGGACCAGGATCATTTCACCCTGCCAGGGCCCTGCAGGGCTTTGCTGCGGCTCAGGATCCCCTGAGGCCCCCTTGCCCCGTTGCACAGTGCCATCTCCTGGAGAGCCGTGCCTGAGCTGCACACAGATCTGATGCTGAAGCAGCAAGTGGTGCTGACAGCTAGAGGTGCTGCCTCTGCCACAGGGGTTATCTCCGACCCACCGAGAGTCTCTTCCTCACCGAACCTCTCTTCCTCCAGCAGGTACAAAGGAAGCTGTTCATTGCCTGGCTGCTTGCTCTCACCTCCGGGGTACCTGTGACAGAGCATCCCTGCTTTGGATGCCAAACACAATCCTCGGCACAAGAAGAACAGTAAGAGAGCACAAATGAACATCTTTAGATATTACTCCTTAGCTTTTGTTCAGCTTAGGCACCAGTTTCCAGTTGTACACGCTGTGTATACATTCACCCTGTACCCGTTCCTCCTGGTTGTAACTTTAAGGGACACTTTTCTCCCTCCCCAGATTTGATGATCTGGTCATGAGCAACAACCAAGCCCCTCATCATAGTGCTCACCCTGTATTTAAAACATTGCTACATCTCTTTTAATGACACAAAAACGTGTATGGGGAACTTGGGCTGAATGTTGCTGCCTTGAGTAAGCTCTATTTTTAACCTGAAAAGACAAGGAAAATGGGTGGTTCCAAGAGCAACACGTTTTAGTCCCATGAAACACAGCTTAAGTGCTTAGTCACTGAAAAAATGGACTCTGCAATTGAAAGCCAAAGGCTGCTGCTTCATGCATCATTTTAGGCTGTTGTGGCACCTTCTGAGCAGTTGGTTCAGTAAGCTGTGCTACACAAGAGAATAACCAGTGCTCCAAGATGCTGTTTGTAAAGACCATAATTAGCTAAATACAAGGCCATAAAGTTCACAGAGGAGAGAAAAAAACTACCCTGACCTGTGGCTGTTCACAGCTTTGGCCTTTTCTCTGTGTTGCAAACCTCACAAACTCCTTTTTGCCAATGAACTGAAGCAGCCTGTTTACCAAAAATGTATTTCTTTTAATTAAAATTCATATCTGGAAAGGAGAAATGACACAAATGAGGTAAATCAACATGGGGAACAGGAGGTTTCACTCAAAAAATAAAGTTCAATTGAGCAATTGATTTGATTCCACAAAGTCTGAGAGGAAGCCTCTGGTGAGTGTTACTCGTGGGGCTGACTCAGTGAGATGTCAGTGCCAAAGTCTTCAGGGCCTAAACTCTTCTCACTGCACTGTCCTGTCCTGCCCCACCAGATTGCAGAGGAGAGGCAATGAGGAAAGGCTGGGGACAGGCAGTGGCTCTAACCAGGGGTTCCCATCAGCATCCCCTCAGAAAAGGCTGTGTAAAGGTTTCATTTGATTGTGCAAATTCACTCCCTCCTTGGTCTTTGCTCATCTCCCAGCCCTAAAGGAGACTTAACAGCAAGCAAATAACAGCTCTGAAGAAGCTCTGTTTCAAAGTTAATATCTGGCAAGGAACAAGCTCATTAAATGTGACACACTTTGCAAGGGAGAAGGAGTTTTGCTTCTTTCTTTCTCTTTTCCTTTGACATTTGCTTCCATGCATGTACAAATGGAGCTTTTCATCTTAGAAGTTTATGAAGTTGCTGCAAGTTTGTGAGAATCACATTGACCGTCCTATGAAACGAAGCTTTCTCATTGAGGACCTCTCAAAGTGGCTGCTAGGACGTTTTACCCTGTATCACAGTAAGGAAATCGTGAGGCGAGCTCCATGCCACTGAAGCAACTAACAAAGAGCTGTACTGGCTTCCAGCTCCCCACAGGTACAGAACCACCTTCACCACCACCCACAGCAGAACCAAGTCACACTCCAAAATTCACCCAGTTCAGTCAGTGCCTGACAAACTCCTAAAGGCTGGGAATTCCTGCCAGGCTGAGGCTCTGTGGCCCAGGTCCACTTTGATGGATCAAGGCATTATGGAGTGACAAGAGATGGAGCTTTACCTGTTACACCCACCTGAGAGAAACTCATCCAGGCTCTTGTGCATTAAGCTGAGACAGGTAAGACATTGCTCCAACACATATCCCAGGGCAGCATGTGGTAACCGAGACACTTTCATCTCACCTGCCAAGTTAGTAGTGAAATTCCATGACCACACGCAGACAGAACATGAGGTGAATGCGCTATTTGAATCCCATTTGTATCCTTAGGGGATGAAGGTGGGATTTAAACCGTATGTCAGCTTGGCACTGGTCTGCACGGGCTGGATGTCACACTGCAAGAGCAGTATCCATAACTCACAGTGCAGAGAGAAGGCTGAACCACATCTGGTACCACGTTTCCAGTGCGTGCTTTCAGCAAGAGACAGAAACTCATTCACTACCATGCACTGCTGGTGATAACTGTACCCTGGTAGCTGCAGCGCCTTGATACCATAAGGTTCTCCATGTTAGAAGTCAGTTAAAGGCAGTAGATCTTGAGTGAGAGGGAAGGACAGAGGTGCCACACTGAGGAGAGGGATTTTCAAACAGAAATTTAAAAAATAACTGCTTTTTTAACTAATAACTCCATTGTTTGAGGAACTAAAGCAACCACTGGTAAGTTCCTGGTTTATTACACATCCTGCTATGGCTCTCTGAGGAGTCTGAAAAGGCAGATTAGCATAAGATTAGCAGAGAAAGAAAGCTGTTTAGGCTCAGACTCCAAGGCAAGCCATGTCACACTGACACCCCCTGGGTCCTCCAGCAGCACCAGCAGGTTTTTTTCCCTAGACAGATGTCCCATAGAATAGTTCAGGTTGGGAAAGCCCCGTTACAATCATTGAGTCCAGTGCTGCCAAGTCCACCACAAAACCACATCCCTAAGCACCACATGAACATGTCTTGGTGTCTCCACCGCTTCCCTGGGCGGCCTCTTCCAGTGCAGGACAAGCCTTTCCGTGAAGAGATTTTTCTCCCCAGTAGCCCATCTAAACCTCCCCTCCCATCCCTGTTTCCTTCACTGGATCATGCCATCCTGCTGCCCCGTCTGGCTGGGGTCAGTGGTGACCGACGGGCTGGGTGTATTGCTCTGCAGAAACCGACGGAAGTCCTTAATCATGGGGCGGAGGACCTGGATGAGGGCGCTCAGCGCTGCCTGCGTTCCTTCCATGGCTTGTGCCTGCCGCTCCTGGGCGCACGCCTGCACCTCCTGAGAGCGCCGGATCATCTGAAGCAAGTCATTCTGCTGCTCCAAGTGCTGGGCAATCTCCTTCACGTGCAAGTTGGTCACGCGCTGCTCCTGCAAGAGCTTGGCCGAGTTCAGAGCGATTCGGCTCTTCAGCTCCTGGGGTTTCGCAGCCACTTCGTGCTGATGCGCCATCATCTCCAGAGGTGCCTCTGCGGTGACTGTGGCGGGGGCTTCTGTTGTGCAGTACTCCACGACCCCGTCCTCCAGGCTGTGGTAGGTTGTCTCTGCAGGAACTGAGAACAAAGGACACAAAGGGGGTGAGACAGAGCTGCGAGTTTTATCTATGGGACTATTCAATGGCTATCACAGGAATAGGGCCTGCTCCCTGAGATAACATACAACGACCAATGCACAAAATGACCTATTGAAGATTGAAGTCTACTCCACCCTCATGCACCCTTCCTCCTAGACTGTACAGTCCGAAGGAACAGGCCATGCCTTATCTGTCCAGACAAAACCATTTCTCGGCTTCCAGTTCAAACAGTCTTTCCCAGCAGCATTAACCAATGACGTCAGGGCAAAGACAAGACCCTGAGTGGCACTTGTGAGCATGGGGCAGAGTGGGAAACCAGCCCTGGAGATGCTTTTCCTCCTGTTTCTGTCCCCGGAAAGGGGGACCGAACATCTCCGAGGCGCAAAGGATATTTAGTCATAGAATGGTTTGAATGACCATGAATGGTTAAGATCATCCAGTTCCAACCCCCCGCCATGGGCAGGGACACCTCACACTAGACCATGTCACCCAAGGCTCTGTCCAAGCTGGCCTTGAACACTGCCAGGGATGGAGCATTCACAGCTTCCTTGGGCAACCCATTCCAGTGCCTCACCACCCTTACAGTAAAGAACTTCTTCCTTATATCTAACCTGAACTTCCCCTGTTTCAGTTTAAACCCATCACCCCACGTCCTATCGCTACAGTCCCTGATGAAGAGTCCCTCCAGCATCCTTGTAGCCCCCTTCACATACTGGAAGGCTGCTCTATTTGCTTCCCTTGTCCTTAAGGCTGAGCTCAGCCACTATATGTGTACCCTGCAGCCATTCCCTACAGCACAAGGACATACTGGGAATGCCATTTTCCAAACACAGACACGGGAGGGTTCTTTTTGCTGGGGCTTTCCCCATACAGCGCTCAGGCAGGTACCAAGGTCCCCTATTACTGAGACCAGCGCCTCTCCAGCAGGCGCAGCACTCACTCTGGGTCAGGGTGACCGTGGTGGCTGCCGCGGTGATGGGTATCTCGCTCCCGTCACCCGCGCTGCAGTCCCCACTCGGCAAACTGATGATGGTGGCTTCTCCCAGCAGGTTACAGATGCGCTGCTGCATGGGGGTCAGGATAACAGGGGCGGCCGCGGCGCCCGTCGGGTCCTCGCTCTCCGTCCCGTTGCCGCCGC